GGGGGCTCAGGAGGGGGTGCTGGGGTGCAGGGAGTGGGCGGGGGCTCTGTAGGGGGTGCTGGGGGAGCAGGGAGTGGGCGGGGGGCTCGGTAGGGGGCGCTGGGCTTCAGGGAGCGGGGCGGGGGCTCGGTGGGGGGCGCTGGGCTGCAGGGGGGGGGCGGGGGCTCAGGAGGGGGGGCGGGGCGGCAGGGGGGGGGGGGGGGGGCTCGGTAGGGGACGCTATAACCTTTCTCTCTTAGATGGTTTTGAATGGTAAGGTGCTATTTATGACCTATATTTATTTATTTTTAATTAATCAAAAGCTTGTGTGCCCGGTATTACCCTTCCCTCCCGCGTTACTGCCCATCTACAACCTCTCTTCAGTCCAGGCTGATGCGTTCCCCATCTACCCATCTCAACCGCACGTCAATGACCTACGTCCAAGAGAAAAATGTTCAACCCTTTATTACACAGAAAAAACTTTCAATAAACTTTAAAAATCTCACTTGGTGCCTGCATCTCTTTTGCCTCAATTTTATTTGCCGAATAGAATAAAAATCCCCCTTTTCTCCTAGCCTGAGGAAGTATTTCCTTTCTGCAAACCCTTTACAATAAACGTCAAACTGTGGAAATTCCCCGTCCAAAACCTTTGTGATCCTAAAGAACTTTTAACAAATGACTTTCGATATTTTGCTGCCTGATCTTATTTCTCTTTCATGTTATTTGCACTGGAGAATAAAATCCGTCTGTGTTGCCAGACAGAAAGGCTTTTTGCCAACGCTGAACTTTAAAAAGAAAAAAGGAATTCTCTGCTAAAAACTTGGTTGTGATGAAGAAATTCAATCTATCGTTAACAACTGACTTTAGATACGTTGCTGCCTGATTTGATTTCAGTTACTTTGTATTTGGACCGATGAATACAGCCACTCTTTATATTTTGGAAGAGAGATTTTGAGAAGAATCTGCACTTCTGCAAACATTTAGAAATTCCAAGACAAACATCTGTGTTAAGGGGAAGTGAAGGATGCAAATGTATATCCCTAAGTTAAAAAAAAAATAGCTGAGATCAAAATTCAGCAAGAGGTTTTGTTGTTAAAAGAAAGATCCTTTTTGCAAACAATTTCCTTTAAAAAATGAGGAAATTTCAAGGCAACCCTCCCCCCGCACAGTTAAGGATGAAAATAACTTTTCTGTTACTGAAAGAGAAAATAATATCACAGAATGGTCGAGATCACAAACAAACACACACAGACACAACCAACCAAAACAAATTGAATAGACCAAAAACAAAAACAAAAAAACAAAAAACCCAAAAACTAAGGAAAGTTCAAGGCAAAAAACTTTGTTAAGGCTGAAAATAACTTCGCCTTAAAGAGAAAATAATTAAAAAAAAAATGATTGAGATTGCAAACAAACAAATTGAATAGACAGGGAAAAAAACCCCGAAGGACGTTCCGAGGAAATTGTGTCCTTGGTGCCTCAGTTTACCCACCTGTGATTCGGGGATAATAACCCCCGCGTCCCGTTCGGAGAGGATGATGTCCTTTATGTCAGCAGAGCGATTTGAGCTGCCTGCATGGCCGGGGTGAGAGGTGGACATCTTTCTGAGCATGCATTGTGGGTTGGAAACAAACATTATCTTATCGGGGCAGCTGCTGAAATGGACCTGGTGATAAGCGCCCCTTTGTGGCACGTCCGATTTATCTCTTCCCCTCCGTGCCATGCTCTGACCCCATGCCCCGTAAGACAAATAGCTTGAGAGGTGACCGGTGCATGGCAGGAAGCGATAAGAGATGTTGGTCCAACTTAGGTTGGACGCATGCTTCTGAGAAGCCGGCTGGAGCCTACGTTGTTCCCGTGGTCCATTACGCTCACCGTCAAGAATTTCTGCCTTATTTCCCATCTGAACGGGTCTAGCTTCAGCCTCCAGCCATTGGCTCGTGTCAGACTTTTCTCTGCTAGACTGAGGAGCCCACGATCACGTCTGTTCCCCATGGAGGTACTTGTAGACCATGATCTAGTCACCCCGTGGCCTTCTCTTTGTTCCTCTAAACCCCTTGAGCTCTGGGAGTCTCTCACTCTAAGGCAGGTTGTCCAATCCTTTAATCATTCTCCTGGCTCTTCTCTGACCCCTCTCCAGCCGATCCACGTCCTTCTCGAGTGGTGGGCACCAGAACTGGACACAGGACCCCAGCCGCAGTCGCACCAAGGCCAAATCCAGGGGGCAAATAAACCCTCGGCTCCTCCTCGCCATTCCCCTGTTTGTGCATCCCGGGATCACACCAGCTCTTCGCGCTGGGAGCCCACGCTGGGTTGCTTGTCCTCGAGGACCCCGAGAGCCTTTTCCGAGCCCCTGCCTGGCAGGATATGGCCTGGCCTTGTGCTCGGCGCTGCACGTTAGTAATTATCGGTGTGGTGGTGGCGCCTTGGACTCCAGCGACAGATCAGGAGCCCACGGTGCCAGGCCGCGCCTCATCTGAACCAACCCTGCTGCCGCTCCTCACTGGCTCCTAGCAGGAGCCGGACTTTAAGGACAAACCTGCCCCGTGAGCCATTATGGTGCTAAGAGGCAGAGATGGGGGGGGGGGGGGGGGCGTTACAGCGTCAGCGGAGGAGGCAGGACTCTGGGGTTCTCCTTGTCGGGGGACTTATTTCCACCCTGAATTGCTTCGAGATCTAAACATCCGCTGACAGTGGCACTGGACTATTTTCAGTCGTGGGGGTGCTGGAAGCCAGCCCCCTTACCCCTGGGCTGTGTCTCTGGGAGGGGGGGACCCGGACAGGGGGAAGGGGGCTGAGGTGTGGTCACAGCTGGAGGGGTGGGTGTGGAGCCAGGAGCAGGGGCCGGCAGCCGGGACCCCATGTGCGGGGCCAGGAGCAGAGCCCCGGCCATGGGGCTGGGTGTGGGGCACCGGGAGTGGAAGCCTGGGAGCAGGGAGTGGGGCTGGGCCTGAGGCCAGCGGCCGGGGAGTGGGGCCGGCGGCCGGGGAGTGGGGCCGGCATCCAGGGCCCCAGAAACAGAACCCCAGGGACGGGGCTGGGAGTGGGGCCCTGGGCGTGGGCCTCGGGCCCAGGGCCAGTGGCCGGGGAGTGGGGCTGGCAGCTGGGACCCAAGCCCCAGGTGCGGGGTTGGGGAGCGGAGTGCGTGGCGTGGGGCCAGTGGCTGGTGGCTGGCCCCCGGGACCCGAGCCGAGGAGTGGATCCCCGGGCGTGGAGCTGGCGGCCCCGCATAAAACCTGCACCCCCCCCGCACCCCCACTTCCCGCGCCTGTGTCTGCTGATTGAGGAATCGACTTAGCAAACGGGCGGAGGTGGGCAAATGTACGAATAGAGGGACTCAGATAAAATCAGTCCCGTGGGCTGGTCACATCAGTAACGGCCGCGCTCTGGGCAGATAGGGATCTTAGAAACTGATTCCTCCCCCCCCACTCAGGGCCTGCCTTGGGCTTTATTAAACCGCCCAGGCCGACGTGATTGAGAGGAATCAGACAGAGAGCGGGAGGTAAGCGCTACCCCTCCTACATGGCCCTGTGTCCCATTCCCCCCACGAGCCAGCCAGTGCCCCGGACTGGGGCCGGATGGGAGCAGGCGCCCCCTAGAGGGGAAAGGCCCCCTGTCCCATTCCGCCCCCGCCCCCCCCAGCCAGCCAGTCCCCTGCCCTGGGGGTGGAGGGGAGCTGACACCCCCTAGAGGGGAATGTTCCTATGTGGCTGGCTATTCTGATCTGGCCATTTTGGGGTTTTTCAGCTGAAGCCCCTCAGTGAATTATTCAGCTACCAGGATGTCCCCCGAGAAAGTCGCCCTCCTGCTTTTCACTGCGGCTTGGGTGCTGCCTGCTGGAACCTCAGAGGTAAGTGGCTTCGATACAATATCCCTGCCCCACCCCAGAGGTGGCTGCATCTTAGTGCTGGGTGAGTCATCCCTGTGAGGTGTTACATGCAGCTGTTCCCCAGCTGCCTCACCCCAGAGGTGGCTGCATCTCAGCTCAGGGCGAGCCATCCCTGTGCAACATTATGTGTGGCTGTTCCCCCGCTGCCCCACCCCAGAGGAGGCTGAAACATTCTGTGCTTGAATTTCCAACAATCTGTAAAAGGCAGATATTGGCCACTTGCTGGTATAATTTGTGTTGGAGAAGCACTGGAAAGCCCCATCCACCAGCCCAGACCCCAGGGGAGCTATCGAGGCTCCCAGTGTGCCGGGCACAACACAAACACAGGCCCTGCCCCGAAGAGCTGCCAGTCTGACTAGACGAAGGGTGGGACAGGAAACGATCTCCACAGAAACATGTGGAGATTTGCCCAAGGTCACCCAGTGATGGCAGAGCCAGGGATAGAACCCAGGAGTCCTGGCTCCCAGCCCTCCCTGTTATAACCATTAGACCCCACTCCCCTCCTAGATCTGGGATAGAACCCAGTCCCCTCTCCAGCTCTAACCATTAGGCCCCACTTCTGGAAATTCCCCTCAGCAGAAACCCCCTGTGTGCAATCCCCGTTCTTCCCTGCATGGGTCATTTCTGAAGCATTGTCCATGAAGGGTCACGCCTGACCTTGAGCTGACGGTTGTTCCAGCCCCGCCCCGATGAGATCCGCACGGCGGAGGGGAACCCCACTCTGAACTTGGCCTCCAACTCCCTGGATGACCTCTACCGAGGTTGCGTGAAGGCCATGAAACGACGCCTCCCATCCCTGCTGAAAGAGGAGCTGGAGGAGAACCAGCTCTTCCGTGAGGCGTGGGACCAAGCCAAGGAGATGTGGATGCAGATGGAGAACCAAACAATCTTCCCCAAGACGTTGAGGGCCCTCTACAGCGTCGCTGTCTTGGCCTACACTTTGGAAGAGCCACCACTCTATGCGTCGTTCAACGTGGCGACCAGAACGGCGTGGAAGAGCCCCCAGGCATATGCCGGCTTTGCCTTCAAGTCCTTGCATTTCCTCCTGACCCGAGCGGCCGAGAAGCTAGGAGCCAAGGAGCCCAGTTGTGCCAAAGTCTACCGAGGAACCAAGGTGAAGTTCTCCATCGAGGGTTTGTTCCGCTTCGGCCAGTTCACGTCCACCTCAGAGAAGAGGCAGGAGGCGGAGGAATTTGGACGCACGACTTTCTTCGTGCTGGTCTCGTGCCAGGGGTTCCCGGTGGGGAATCTGTCCCGCTTCCCGGGGGAAGAGGAGATGGTGGTGCCGCCCTACGAGATGTTCTGGGTCACTGGGGTCAAGGAGACGCCAAGGAAGAAGACAGTGCACGCCAAGTCGGTGGGCGTCTGCAGCAACCATAACTGCGCCTACCTGGGGAAAGGTGAGGGGGAGGACGCGAGGAGGGACGTGAGCTATGGAAGGCCACCAGGGAGATAAAAACTAGCCCCTAGGGGGTGACAGCTCAGGTCTGGCCCGGGGGTGGGGTGGAGTGAGGAATAGGACACAGGGCCTTTCCCCTCTAGGGGGCGCCGGCTCCTATCCCACTCCAGGCCAGGGGACTGGCTGGCTCGGCGGGTGGCAGGGAAAATTAATTGTCTATTTTCTGTTTTTCAGAAGGGAACAGTACAATGAGCTGCCCTGATCACCAAGGTATGGGGGTAGGAGTGGGGGCTCATCCCTTGGCTGGACAGGGGGCGTGCATGGGGCTTGAGACAATTACTTGCAGGACTCCTGGGTTCTCTCCCTGACTCTGGGAGGGGAGTGGGGTCTAGTGGGTCAGAGCAGGGGGGGCTGGGAGCCAGGATTCCTGGGTTCTATCCCCAGCTCTGGGAGGGGAGTGGGGTGGGGTCTAGAAGGTTGGGGGGGGGGCTAAGAATCAGGACACCTGGGTTCTTTTTCCTGTTCTGCAACTGACTCCCTGGGTGAGTTTGGGGGCATCTCTGCCCCCCTCTGTGCCTCAATTTCCCCCGCTGTGTTGGAGGGCACTGGCACTCATCCAGTCGGGCAAAGTGCCGTGGCGGGGGTGGGTGTGGGTCTGTGGCTCAGGCGTGTGCGGATGGCTAACGTGGCGTGCGCTTGTGTCTCCCCGCAGTGCTGTATTTGTGAGGTGCTTGCCGCACCGGAGCAAGGAGGGGAAGCAGCAACCCCCTGGGATGTTTTTAGCCAGGAGCGTTGTGTGTGTGTGTGTGTGTGTGTGTGTGTGTGTGTGTGAACAGCGCTGCCCCCTGCTGGAGGGGAT